TTTGAAGATTATAAAGTTTAGTTTATGGAAAGAAGGAAATTATGATGTAACCTTAGAGAGGGTAAAATATAAATGTATTTATAACCGCTGTCAAGAAAATTGGAAGCCATTTCTTTAGAGTCTATTTTTTCCTTTTCTATTTCTTTTTCTATATTTCTTTTTCACTTTATTACTTTTCTTTTTTCTTTAATTCAAAATTTGTACTGTTCTTAATTCTGTTCACAAACTTAAATAAAAATTATTTAAAAATTCCCATCTTCCACTCGATTGAGGTTCACTTTGAAGAACACTCTAAAGCGGGATTCCTCAACCTTGGCAACCTTAAGACGGGTGGACTCCAACTCCCAGAATTCCCCAGCCAGCCTTGCTGGCTGGGGAATTCTGGAAGTTGGAGTCCACCCATCTTAAAGTTGCCAAAGTTGAGGAATCCTGCTCTAAAGAGACTTCCCGTGCCCTCTTGTTGTCTGGCCAGTACAAGAAAGGATTTTGCTATGTATGATCTGAATGCTTAAGAGAGTGGATAGAAGATGCTTATGCTGCTAAAAAAAAGAGAAGCTTTTAAAGTCTACTGATAGTCTGGCCTTGATGGGTGCTGTTTACTGAGTTTGCCCTGGTGCTGCATAAAAGATTCCTAATTCTATAGCAGAGGACAAACCTCTTTTGTAACAGACTTCAGAAATGGAGTGGCATATAAGCCAAAGTAATAACATAAAATCAAAGGGGACGCTGTTTGCAAGGCTTGCTCATGGGTCGCAATGTTTGTGGCTTGGCAGCTGGGTAGAACCATCAGCTAACAGGAAGAAAAATTACTGCCTTGCGTTAACATTGTATGAGATACTTTTTTCAGAATATTCATAATCCACCATTACGTTAGCTTGTCATTCTAGAATTGGCGTCTAATTTTAAAACAACCAGATTGACAACTAATGGCACATATACAAGACCCAAATTATGAACTGAGTGAATCTAATCTTACTCCATAGGCTTGTATTTAGTTTAAGGTCCATTCCATACATTACATTTTTAGAGAGTATCTCTAATGCTGTTTTACTAGGGCAGCTAAAGATTGTGAAAGTGAAAATGTGTGTTTTACTCTCACTGGCAAAACACAAGAACTCTTAGTAGGAAATTGTATAATACTATTATGTTCTTCATGAGGACAGGCTAAAATATCCTTCCCTAATACGGTGCTTCCTAGATAGGTTGAATTACTAGAATCATCCCTAGTTGGGATGTCTTCTCATTCCAGCTGCAGTTGATGGACACAGTAATTCAAACCATCTGAAAGATGCCTTTGCTGGAGATGGGAAGGTTGGGAGCCATTTTAAACAAAGGCAGGTTGCTGGATCAAGATTGAAAAAAGTTGGGATTAACACTGTTCCTTGGAGCCTCAAATCAGAAGTTTGGAATTCAAGTGAAGCTTGTGTGTTGTGTGTGTTTTCTCCTCCTCTACTGAATACATGGAATGCCAGCCAGCTACACTGTTTAAGGTGATCTTCCTCATTTTTTGGACAAATGGTCTGGAAGAACTAGTCAGTGCCAGTTGTGATCATCTGATCATTTCATATATAAAATTCCTCACATCTGTTTGAAGCTGGGTGGGCAGGATCTGATGAAATGGCAGAGGGAGTGCCTTGAGGCATTATTTGGAGGTTCTGGAGCCTGCCACTCCTAAGGCAATGGACAGTCATCTGTAGTCTTGCAAGCTTTACCCCTGACCCTCCTGACTAGTTAAGGCAACTAGGGAGGGAGCAGGACGGTGGATCCAAACACTTGGCAACACCTATTTTGGCCTCAAGAGAAGCACTAGTCTATCACCTCTACAAAATGCCTTAGACTTGCTTGTACTGTATTTGACAACTATCATCCTATATCCAACTTCCCCTTTGGGGGAAGTGAGAGAGGCAGTGGAAAACCAAACCCAGTGTTTAGAGGCTTTCAGGGCCTGGACAGGGAAGAACAAACTCAGATTCCACCCGACAAGATAGAGTGGCTAAGCATTCAGAAGTCCAGTAATTCTGGGATTGTACCATCTTTGACTTTGAACAGGGTGGTGCTCATTTTTGGAGAGAACATCCGTATTGTATTTCTTTTATTGTATATTATTGCATTTATTATTATTGCATTGGTTTCAGCTGTTGCTTTTGTACATCTCTTAATTGCCTTGACTGAAGCAATTTATGTATGAATGAATGAATGAATGAATGAATGAATGAATGAATGAATAAAAGGGAAGAATCAAGGTTAGAGAAATCCAGCTCCACTGTACTAAAGTAGCAGGTTCTATCTGTATTAGTATACTTAGGAAAGGATAATTGTAAAGAAATCCTTAAGGCTTTCTTTAATAAGCAGTATTATATTTGATCATCCTTTCCTTGAAGATCTGACCTGAAGCCCTCCATCTGGCCACTAAGGAAACACCTACACCAACTGCTTGTTCCTAATCTCATTGATTCATACTAGCTAGGAGTTTTAAATGCATTTTCTTTTAATTCACAAATGTATGTACAAATGAATAGACTTCATATACAATTCCTGGTGTACGAAGAACCTATTATTTTTTTCTTCATCTGGCTGCTGCTGCTTTCCAATGAAACTCCCAATCATCCCCAATTTGCCATTGGAGAAAATGATAAAAAGTTAATAAAGGTTCAATTGCAAGGTCTTTCCCCACTGCCAAGTTTAAGAGTTCCCCTAAGGGTCAGTAGAAAACTACCACCATGGAATTTGCTGTCCCCATTGCCAACTCTATTCCAGTCACTGCAGTCCCCTGACTTCCCTCCAGTGTAATGGGTAATCAAGTCTAAAAGTTCTATACACCTTGAGATTTTTGGCTGATGTCAGAGCAAGGGGGAAAATTTTTCCCCCTCAATCCCAGACAAAGCAGCAGCACAGAAGTATTTCAAGAGCACTCTGCTGTGGGAGAACTTCTCAGCTTGAAAGAGGAATTGACCTCACCTGAAACATATAACCTATTTCAGCATAAAAGGAACTCTACTTTTTGCAGCTAAAATGCATGCAAAATAATTACAGGAACAAAAAAAATCTGGCTTTCACTCATTCTATAGTTGGCAAAAGGTTTTGTTGCCTCCCCCCCCCCTTCTTTTAAGTGCAGAGAGCAGATGCAACTTAATGCAAAGTAGTATATCCTAAAAGTAAGCCTAAGGAGGTGATGTATTGACCATCAATAGAGCCAATATGCATTGGCTCTATTGCAGTCATTCCAGCAATTAGAAGAAACAAACTTTCTACCTTTAAGGACTTCTGTGCAATATTGGAGAGTTTGGGGGCTTGTTAAGAGGTGAACTAAATAAGATGCATGCCAAGCCTTATTTCCATGTGGGTTGAGTTCACTTCCTAACCCCCATCACACTACCCAAGGCTGATATCACTGAAAAAAATAATAATGGGAAAATGTTTCTCCATTGCCTAATCTTCAAATAACTCACCTGTAGCTGGAACAACAGTGTTTTCCAGAAGCACAGAAAACCTTAATTTTATTATTTGGACATGGGGTCTGTCAGAATATGTGACCCAACCCACCCGCATTGCTTGTCTAAAAAGGGCTCTGAGATAGTCAAGCAAATCCTGTATCTGCTGCTGTCTTATCTGAGCAGAAAAGGAAGAATCAACAATGTATCTTCATTTGAAAGGCAATTTTGGGATCTGCAGTCATACAAACAGCTACTGTTACATGCACATTTGATGAATACCATACAATCTTTCATGTCCCAAAATGCTGTGCATGTGCCACCCATCTTTCAGTGCAAAGAGAAACAGGCACTCACATGAAACTATTGTGCAACTGTTAGATGTCTTGTTTCCAAACCAGGCTGCATTTTATTCAGGGCAAACTTCTGAATAAAACCCATGAAGTAATTTACAAAAGCATTCTGCCTTCTCTCTCATCCTCCCATTTACAGCACCATCCCAACATTTGGCTAATAACTTTGTTACTTGATTGAATTCAGTTCAACTGATGAATAAAGATTCCAGAAAATATTTATTTGCTAACATTTTTCAACCTCTCACCAAATGTAGTTTTGTACTGAAATCAACCTTGAACAGCTGAGTATTTCCTGCTGGCATTCATAAATGCACAGTATTTCCACATCTTGCATCCAAAGTATCATTTTAAAAAATGCTATTTCTCAAAATTAGGTACAGTACTTACCCAGTGTGGGGATCCTAGAATGGCAAAACAATGATGTATTTTTAAAACAGTCGTTTTCTGTATTCTACTAATCTATCAGAGACTCAACTCTAGGAAAACTTTATAGCTGTTATGTTACTTCTAGAAGAACCCAGGGATGTTCTCAGAAAATTGGTCTGTCTGTTCACTAATCTTTCCACCCACTGTCTTGTTTATTTAAAGGTAATGGGGGGAAAGCCTTTTAAAAAATAACACTGAAATTCTACATAACAGAAACACAATCAGGTGCCCTCCAAATGTATTGGATTATAAATCCCATCAGTTACAGTCAGCATGGTTAATGGTCAGGGATTATGGGAGCAGAGTCTGAGAAAGGGAGATACAAGCTTATTTTTCCTTCCCTCTTCTAGACTATGGGGTTATTTTATGGTAAACATAGGTTTTCCATTTCTGATTCATATATTGTGAACTGAGATTTATTTTGAGAAAGGTAATCTATAAATTTTGGAATAAAAGAAAGTGAAAATGTCAAACTTCTCAGCAGACCGCTAAATCCTAGGGAGAAAAATCACAGAATAGTTCCATAAAGTGTAGTCTCTTATCAGAAGACATGGAGGACAAAGGAGAAGGCTACAGTTGTAATAAACATTAATCAAAACCCATGTACACAAATATCTACTTTTCTCTGCCCTCACTACCCTTGTCAAGAAGACACCACCAAAGGCAATAAACATTGCATTCTCTAATTATAAATACAAGTTGGATATTAAACTTGACTGATTTTTTGAGTAAAACAAAAACTAAACACCCACTCAGCCCCCAAATTTGGATTGCCTGGAGTGATAAGAAAAGCAGTTTAGGAGAAATAGGAATTCATTTAATTAGAATGGCCTCTGCCATGTACCAACACTGAAGAAACCTTAAAACAGCGGTTCCTTAAATAAAATTTCAGATACAGATTTTTCAATAGTGGAAGAAGCATGACTGTTCTTATCCAAAATTGTCATATTCCTCAACCCAATTTTTCAAGTTTAGGCACAGCAGCAGGATGGCATGCATTTGTCTCCTGTCCAAGCCTTTTAAAACACTGCACATAAGATTGGGGATCCTGCTGAATGAGACAGGCTTTGGTAGGTGGAGTAATTAGGCAGACACGCCTTCTATGATTTGAGCATGACACACAAAAGGTGCTTCTGTCCAATCTTGGGAGAATCCCTCTTTCCCCACATCATTGCCTACCCTGCTTGGGAAGTATCTCCCCAGTGTATATTTCAAGGAGCTACATATGCTACCAAAAATGAGTTGAATGCATCTAAATTTGGATCCAACCCCATTTTCTACTTAAATAGCTATTAGATTTTTGTATTGGATTTGCAAAGCCAGTTTATTCAGTGACTGTATCACAACTGCAGGGAAAATGACAAGCACTTGTGGTAGTGTCATTGCTACCCATAGCTTTTAATTCATTAAAAATCTCTGAGTTGACTTCGCTGTATATTGAAAGATGTGAAATACACAGACCCTTTTTCTGAAGAGCACCTAATGCATTCAGTCCAACTGCACCACTTACCATATTTTGCAAATGTTGTCAGGTCAGCACCATAATAAATATTTATATGTTCCACAAAACCACAGCAATTAAAATACACTGAATCTATGAACCAAATAATCTGCAAACTCCAAAAGCTGATGGCTAATTGTTTTTTCCTCTTCTCATTAGGAAAGAAATAAGACTTCCAACTTGCTGTATTGAGCTTAAACTCTCCTTCAAACAAAGGATCTATTTATTTAATTACAACAGCTTGCAGTTTCACAAGGCAGATTGGAACATACACTCCCAAGTAGCTTCCTGCTGCTTTTTGCATGCAATACATAAATAGCATGACAGGAACTTAAAAGACCAAGGAGGAAGATTGACCTTGGGCACTGCTAAAATAAACAGATTTTTCAAAGTATAGAAATTTTTGCAATGTCCACCACTTCAAATTCATAATCCCTCCCTTGCTCCTTCTCGTGGTAAAGAACTTCCTGAGGAACTGTGTTGTATATCACATGCCTTTAAAGTAACATTTCCCACTTGAAAAGAAAGGCAATTTTTTTTTAAATTCTGTTCATGTTTCCCTTAAATCAAGGAGGTAGGCTGATTTTTCCATTTGAGTACTGCTACAAGTTTCAAGAAAGGAGGTCTCTCTTTGGCTCAACAAGTTTGACTTGCTTAACTTTTATCAAAAGTTTAAATTGTTTCCAAGATCAGGAGGTGATGAAGTCATCCCTAAATCAGGCATAGGCAACCTAGCACTCTTTAGATTTTTGGACTGTAATTCCAACCAACACGAGTCAGTAATATGGGAGTTGAAGTACAAAATACCTGGAGTACAAAATTGCTGTCCCTGCTTTACAATATCAGATGTTTTAAAATAACCATCAGTTACATGAAACTTTATTTTCCCAGTGGTTGAACTCCTACATTTTTTTATTCAGAGAAATATTGTCAATTCCCAACACTTTTTCCTTGGAACAGCTTCACACACCGAATGCAAGGATATGTGCCAGAAGCAGCCAGTTTGAAATTCAAACCAATTTTTTTGTCCATTCAGATTCAAGGATACCCACTACAGGAAGAAAATCTGACTGCATCTAAAGAAATTTTTCACTAAACTAAAGTTGAATTTATTTGGCTGGGACAGGAATGCAGAAGTGGTTACATCTTTGTTCATAACAGTCATCCAGAAGTATTTGCTCCATAATTCAAACTTCTATAAAACTCAGAATAGATCAGCATCTCTATGAAATATGAGGAGGAAAACTTTAGAAAAATGTTGAAAATTCCTATTTGATTCCTTTTAATATAAAATGTATAACTAAGGTATCCAATATACAAATACAAAAATGTGCATAATAAAATGTACCCTAATACTGTACATACAGTGTAAACTGTTCAACAAAAATAATTATATATAAAAAAAAAAACCCTGGGACTTCTCCAGATCTGGAAGAAACATGAATACATGTTTTGGAAACATCAGAATGTGAGCATAAATACTTTTCTCTTCTGTTCTTTTAGACAGTACCATTTAGCAGCACAAAATATCCCTGAACTTTAACAAGGCCAATTATTTTTTTACTGGAAATTCGCACCCAATTCGTTAGATATAACAGGCTATGAAAGGCAGCATTCCCTCTCAAGTGAACAGCATCAAATCCAAACAGAGGTTTTCCCGTCTCCTGATTTACTACTGCCGCTGCTTTTGTTTGAGCTGGCTCTGGGCTTCTTCTCCTTGGAACAGGATGGATTATTCTGATTATTATATGCATGGATGGCAAGATCTAAGCGTTCCTGAGCTACTTTGATTTCTCGCTGGAGATTCACCAGTTCAGTGGGAATGTTCTCCTCATTGCTGCCATATTGCTGTTCTTGGGCAATATTGGCTTTATTCTGCTTATGTGCTATTTTGGCATTAGACAGTTCTGTGTACTGTATCTGGTCTGGTTTCACTGCAATATTGTACCCTGGAGGAGCTGATGGTGTATTCCAAATAAAAGGATAATGATAAGTTCCTGAATCTTCCAGCTCCTTCCGCTTACTGTTCAGTGCGTCCCGAATGGTGCCAAATCCCAAGTGAAGCATTTCCCAGATGTTCAGAAGTAAACACAGACCACTCACACCATACATGATGAGCAGGAATATGGTTTTTTCTGTGGGCCTTGAAATGAAGCAGTCAATTGTATGGGGACATGGATCTCTGCTACAAAGATATGTTGGACTGACTTCAAATCCATAGAGTAAATACTGGCCTATCAGGAAGCCAATTTCAAACATAGTCCTACTCAGGAGTTGAAAGATATAAATCTTCATAAGCCCATCTTCTCGGATTCGCCTCCTACCATCATGTTTCATTTTTGTGAGGGATGGATTTTCCTTGTTCTCTCGTTCGCTCTCTACCTCAATCTCTGGATACATCATTGGATCTTCCTCATTATCATCTTCTGCCTCTTCTAAACCCCGGTGTTGTTTCCAGCGCATTAGAAAAGGTTTGCTTCGTAACTTCCGTCCCATTTCACCATGTTCCACTATCCGGGCAATTCTGTGAGCAGCATAGCCTAAGTACATTACTGAGGGAGTAGAGACTAGGATGATCTGAAATACCCAAAACCTCACATGAGAGAGGGGGGCAAAAGCATCATAGCACACATTTTCACAACCTGGCTGTTCTGTATTGCAAACAAATTTGCTTTGTTCATCATAATAGATGGATTCCCCTCCCACAGCAGTGAGGACAATGCGGAATACAATCAGCACCGTCAGCCAGATCTTCCCAACAAACGTGGAATGATTGTGGATCTCCTCTAGTAGACGTGTCAAGAAACTCCAACTCATTGTGGTCAAAGATGTTTATCTAAGAAGGAAAAGGGAGGGGAACAAAGTAGATTTTAAATATACTTTTTTAAACAAAGGAAAAATATTTAATTATCAGCTACTTGCGCATCTGTATGGAATTTGAACAATACACAATTTTACAATACTTTACAATTTTCTAAATATTTCTTACGTTGCACCCTGAAATAAATGAGAAAATAAGTGCCTAAAAATGGTTCCATTTAATATTTATCAACATTTTGCACTTACCTGATTCAGTTCTACTCTTATCTATTCACCTCAACTTGTCCAAGCCAGGACATATTTATGTGAATGTTCAGTAGTATCAAAAGAGATAGTATTCTATTCCCTATCCCTAACCCCAATTAAAAAGAACATGACTAATTTGATCATGTAAATTTCTAAGTGTTGTTTTTGGAATCTGGTGTCACAGATAATCAGTCATGTTATAATGGAAAGAAACATTATTCCAAGTGGAATTTTGAAACATGTTTCTGTATTTCATTCTTATTTTGTAATTTTAAGATATATACAAATAATGAAAATAAGCAAATTTAGTGTTTGTACATGGATGAGAAGGAAAAAGCCTATTCAATTTATTAGTTGAAAGGCAGAAAAGAGAAAACAATGGATAAAGGCTTATGGCTGGATTTCCTATTACTTAGGAACAATTAGGATCATGTTAATCAATACTGAAATTTATCCTCTAGAGAAGAAAGAGCTAAGCCTTTCCTCTCTAATATTTTCCTGATGAGAAATCCCTGATCAGGGAAGCAACCAGAAGTTAGGGAAAACATACACTTCTTTTTTAAAAAATATCACTGCTTTGGGGACCATGAAACTGTCTAAAAGAGAATCAACTAGCCAACTATGGTTAACCATGAAAAGGCTGAATAAGTTAGATCTAGTTCATACTTGGACGGGAGACAAACAGGAAATCCCAAGCCTCTATCTAGAGTAGGAAGTCAAGAAAGATTCTCAATATTATTTGTAAGAGAAAAGTGCAGTTTTCCTTCTTAATGAGAATTAATTCCCTCCACATGGCTTTTTGTCAAACTATACAAATGTAGGAACTCCCATCACAGAACTCTGTGGACTCATTTAGCTTGTTCCACAGATTGATAGCATATGCAAACTAAATGTGAAATCTTTGTATTTCCCTTTTTAGAATACATGCAGAAAATAATATCCAAACAGTTTCCAACAAGGGCCAGCTAGTCTAGAAGAAAATGTTTAAATTATGTTTCCACTGTTCAATATTATATTCATATTTTGTCTGAATTTTCCCACATACTAAAGTTCAATGTGAAATTCACATTTTATCTGAAGAATAAATTATTTCACTTTCATTATCTAATTCAGGGGTTCCTAAACTTTTTGCCATCACACCTCCCTTTAGTGTAATTTTAATTACACATGTCCCCTAAAAATCCAAACACTAACATGAACACAAATGAACAATGAAAACAATACAATGAAACTTTGGGAAAGGTGGATTTATTGTAACGATGTACAGGTAGTCCCCAGTTTAAGAACAAGTTCTGTTCTTGTATGTAAGCTGGAACAATATTATTGTATAATACTGTATAAGTAGTATTGTGTAATTAA